CTTCTCATCCTCCTCCATATCCGCTCCATGCCCGCCCGGAATTCTACAGTTGTTGCACTCCCAAATCGCTCTAACTATTTGCGAATCTGCTTCTGTAGAGTTCAGTGCACTGTAGTCTAGGATTGGCCAGGGGAGGAGGTTTGGGCTGGGTTTTGGATACGATGTTGCCTTGTCTGGTGGGGCGAGAGAGGTGTTGAGGTACAGTAGATCTATAGATAAGTTTTGGGTTGCGGATAAGAAGGTTTTGAGAGAAGGAAAGTGTAGCTGGAACTGTAGCTTCGCCCAGAGGTAGCCTGGCATGTCGGTTCGGCTTGTCTCGTACCGGTCATCGAGCCATGTGGCCCAATACTGCATCATGGGAGAATGGGAAAAAGTTGGGGGGGGGAGTGGTGAAGAGATACGGGGAAACGTTGGTGTCATCAAGCCAGGTGTGAGATGGGGCAGAGCACAAAGGGGGCTGTGAGATGGGTCAGAGCAATGGGGGATCAGAGATGGGTCATAGCACAAGGGACTGTGAGGAGGGCGATTGGCCTTCACTTGGAGAGAGCCGACCATTGCATTTTGAGTCTGAGATACGTCCAAAGAAAGCCACTCATATTAGGTTCCTAGAAAAGCGGCTCACCTTCACTTGGAGAGAGCCAACCATTGCATCTGGAGGCTGGGATACGTCCAAAGCAGGCCACTCAGAAGGTGGTTCCGATGCTGGTGATGGTGATGAATTTTCGGATCCGTCTACCACAGGTGATGATGGTGAACTTGACGAGTCGGCCGACTGTGCTTCGGAGTCTGCTGATTGTGACTGTAACAGAGGTGACTGTAACGGGGTGTTTTCGTTTGGGAGTGACTGTAACGAGGGTTGTGGTGTTTCCGAGGGCGGATGCTGCTGCTGCTGGCGTGGAACGAACATGAAGGTGAAGAGGAGCGTGAGGAAGATGGTGAGGAGGAAGGAGAGGAGGAAGAGCAGCAGGATGAACACGGTCTTCTGTGTTTCCGATCGCTGCCAGTACTGCGGGTGGGAGCGGGAGGGACGAAAGGAAACAAAGGATATCGGGTGGGTTAAGGGGCGTGAGAGAGGAGGAAGAGCAGCAGGATGAATATGGTCTTCTGTGTTTCTGACCGCTGCCAGTACTGCGGGTGGGGTTGGGAGGGACAAAAAGGAAGGAGGGGTGCGTTAGGGAGCGTGAGAGAGGAGGGAGGAGAAGGAAGAGAGGAGCACGATGAGCACATGAAGGTGAGGAGGAGCGTGAGGAAGATGGTGAGGAGGACGCTGTTAGCATTCGGGGTGGGAGTGAGTGAGGGGCCACCTAGGAGTGTGGGAGAGTAGGGAGGAGAAGACAGAGGGGAGCACGATAAGCACTGTTTTGTGTGTGTTTTGGAGAGAGTGGAGAGAAAGGGTCAGTACTGGCGCAGTACTGGCGCATGGAGGTGAGAATGGGATGGATGGGTTGTGCGTTTCTTGTGTACTTATGAGACAGAACGACTTTTGATATGTCTCAACAGGAGGGATGGGGTGGGGAGGCCTCATGTAAGGCGCCTTCGAAGCTAGTATTGGCGCATGGAGGTGAGAATGGGGAGGATGGATTGTGCGTTTCTTGTGAATTCACAGGACAGAACGACCCACTGTGTTCATTTTCGAGGCGCCTCCTTTGCCACAGAAGACAGTATTGGCGCATGGACGAGAGAATGGAATGGATGGAATAGGGTGTTTTTGAGAATTCTCAAAAACACCCTGCAGCATCATTGGCGCATGGACGTGCGAATGGAATGAATGGAATGTGCGTTTATGGGACAGACGGACTTTTGCGACGTCTCAACAGGGGGGATGGGGATGGGGATGGGGTTGGGGATGGGGATGGGGATGGGGACGGGGATAGGGACGGGGGTAGGGATGGGGATGGGGACTGAACGGGTTACATACGCGACATTTGTTGGGATTGCGTTGGAATGACATGGAGTTTCTTATTACAGCTTAAAGCAATCACGTGAGATTGAAAAGCAGCGACGATTCTTGAGGAGAAGAAGACGTACGGACACGCATAACAATACGGGTTTTGTGATTCGGTACGTGTATGTTCGTGTGTGTGTGTTCGTGAGTTCCTCTGTGTGTGTGTGTGTGTGTGTGTGTGTGTGTGTGTGTGTGTGTGTGTGTGTGTGTGTGTGTGTGTGTGCGCGCGCGCGCGCGCGCGCGGGCGCACGCGTGTGTGTGTCTGAGCGTGTATGCGTGAGTGCGAACATGTGTGCGCGCGAGCGCGCTTGCACGTGAGCCACTTATGCATAAACTTACGCATCAGCTTATGCATGTAGTAACATATACTGTGTATTCGTCCTCATCAGTTCGAGCGTGCCTGTGTGTGCATTCACGTGCTCGACACACGCGCACGTGTGCGCCACATTCATGGCATTATGTCGATTATATAATATACGTACCCGTCGGTATCCGCCATATTGCTCTCGTCTACCCCCCATATCCAGCAGTGTGAAGCCCGACGCGACCGTCCCCGCCGCATTCATTTGAATATACCCGTTTCCAACTTTCCGCTGCCCGTAAAATTCTCCTACACCACCCTCCCCGGTTTCGCCGAAATTATCATCTACCACGTCTCCGCCGGCCGCGCTTCGGCCGTCGTCGCTCCTCGGCGTTCCCGCGTCGCTATAGCCCTTCGGACCGCGACGAAACAGATGGCTCTCCGAATTCGCGGGGCTGCCGGGGCTCGTTCCGCCGAACCGCGGACCCATAGGCCCCGCCCTGAGCGGACTAATTGACACGCCGTGAAAGCCGCCGTTAATCCCGCCGTGTATCTCGTCGTTTTGTGACCCGCTCTCGCTTCCTTGGTAGTCCGAATAATCATCCCGCTCCGCGACAAAGTCTCCGTATCCGCTATCGACAAAGGAATCGAAATCCTCGCCGCCGCCTCTACCGCCACCGCCGCCGCCGCCGATTCCCGTACTCGCTGCGTCGTTCTCCCGCGGAAGCGCATCAGACGACGCCGCGTCGCGATCAGACTCGGGAGCACTGTTATTACTAGCGTTGTTGCCAGCGCGTCGGCTGCCTCCGAGGCCCCGCCGGCTGCGCTGCCGCTTCGCGTGGAGCTCCGCGGCGCGCTGCTTCCCGATCGATTCCGCCTTCACCGCGTCTTGCCGTTCCGAGGCGGCCTGCATGATTATGGCGCGTACGCGCTCCGATGGCGTCTTTGGCATGGGAGCGCCGAATGCGGCGTCATCTGCACCGTCGTCCCCACTGCCGCCTCTTCCGCCGCCGGCCGCCGAGGGTTTCTCCGCGGAGTCGATGTCGATGGAGAGCGCGCGTCGACCAGACGCCGCCGTTTGCCGGCCGCGACTCGATTCTTCCAAGTCGATGGAAAGACCTCCGCGCGCGGGGGGCCGTTGGCGGCGACCGGAGGCGCTTCCCGCGGACTCGAAATTCATTATCTCAGCCATCCGTTCGTCTCCAATACTAGCGGTCGTCGATCTACCTGCACTGCTATTACTGGCATCGAATCTGCCGCCGTCGGACATGATGGCGAGCGGCCAAATACAGACGAACAGTCAGATGCGATTACAGCAAGGAAGATTGGCGCCGCGAGAAGGTTATGTTGTTTCAATAATACCGTCGTAAGGTTTGAGAAGGCTATTAGGTAATCACACAGGCTGGGATGGTAGTTGTGGTACTACTGTAGTTCCAAAATGGTGCTGTTCGCCAGGAAACGGAGGCGGAACCCGCCTCCAACGTTTGGCCGAAATGCCGTTCAAGAAACTTCTACGCCTGCGGCTGCGAAATCTCGCAACCGCATCGGGAACCTCCGTCCCCACTTTCCCCCCAATCCCCTTTGAACGGCAATGCGACGGCTGTGCCATCGCTGTGCTTCGAAAAACGTAGCGTGGCGATGGCATGGCTTGGGGATGGAGCTTTGCCTGGGGACGAAGTTGCGTCCCCGCTTCTAGATGCCGTCGAGCAGTTCGTTCTGTTGACAAATGGGGGTGTTCGCCAGAAACCCACTTAGATTGTTGGTTTGGACGTTTGGGGAGGCTCGGCACCTTTTTTACCGGCTGACCAGGCTGACGGAGGTAAACGAACCTTAACTGACGGGATCAGGAAGGCGAGACCCACCTTTCTGATCCCGTCGTCTTCCCATGGTTTTTTGCTTCATTGGTGCTGGCGAACACCCCCGAGGTCTCTACTGCTTCGAAGCTAGGGTGAAGCGGGAGAATCGGATTGGGGGTGACAGGACAGGACGCAGTGGAAATGTGGGAGAAAGGAGTAAAGACTTGGGCCGGAAAATTCGATTGCAATGTGAGGGACGAGAGGCGGAGAGAGGCGCGGAAATGCTGAAAACGGTGAAACGCGGCTAAGTTGGCGAGGAGAGATGCCGAGACACACCCGTGGATGGTGGAGTAGAGCGCCAAGGTGACTTGGAGAGCGGAGAGACCGAGGACACGGGTGAACAGTGCACCTAGAGAAGAGCGGTGCGGTGCGACAGGTCAATTGAGGCTTCAGAGACAAAGCGACAAGGGAAGCAAGTGGGAAGGAAAACCATCCCTATGGCCTGCGCTGTGCTCTTGTGGTGGGGTCACCGCGTAACGTGGTCTGACAATTCTATTTCCCAAATTGTAAGGATTTATAAATGCTCACTGAGGCACTCTTTAGCGAGGTCATCCCGAGGGTCACGCGACGAACCTGTCCTTCCTATTTCGTCGCACCGAACCACTCCCGATTCGGCCTTCGCTCCAATCGCAACCATCACCGAGCCATCCTCGCCCAACCTCTCCGCCTAGCTAGGACTTCCCCTATTTAGTCGTACCTTTCTCATTGTATCGTCATTCAGGAATTCAGTACTCAATCATTCTCGTTATTCGTTTTACTGCGCACTCTGCAAGTTCATTCATAACACAAATTATGCAACATGCTAGCGGAGCTTTGGTTTACTGTACTGGATTCTATGTAAAATGTAACCATTTATATTTGTTTCTCGCCAAAACTGTCTGTACCATTTTCATTGTGAATGCCCACAAGCCAAGATTCTCGTTTCCCGTGCATGGTGCCGCAGGTCCCGTAGCGGCCGAACCATGTCGCGAGTCCGTCTTCGCTCGGCGTGGAGCCGCGCTGCTTCGACCCTTCTCTTCCGCGATTCTTCTGCGTGGAAGTCGTCGATCGAGCTCGGAATCTCGACTCACCCTAGTAGTTGTATTGCCTCGAGTCGGAATCTCGGTTTCGCATGGCTTATTCCGCAGCGCATCAGCCGGACCAGAATTGTCACGCCCGTCCACGACCGATATCGCCGTTTCGCATCCGGAGTTGACGGAACCGGATTTGACGGAGGTCAGGGAGCGACGCGAGACAGGGGTGATGGTGTCAGCGCGATTGGCGGGGAGCCGAAGGATGGGTCGACGGCTCGAACAGCGGCTGCCGCGATTGGCAGAGACGAGACAGACGGAGTGCTTGTAAGGAGCGGCATTTTCGACAGTGGAGCATTTTATATTGGAGGATGTGACAATGGTGCATGTGTGATTTCTCCCTTCCCCCAAACCCACCTTCCCTTTCCCTTTCCCCTCTTCCCCCTTCCCTCCCCTCCAACCCATCCCTTCCCTCAGGTTCTGGACTTCATACACACCAGCCTCTATCACCCCACAGACGGCTATTTCACCTCCTCTTTCTCCACCCATTCCCCCAACTTCCCCCCCACTCCTTCCACCCTCCGCCTTCCCAATTCCCCCCATTCAGGTGCACAATTTCATCCACACCAGTCTCTACCATCCCAGAAACGACTATCTCACCTCCTCTTTCTCCCATTCTCCCAAGAACCTCCAGAAACCTTCCACCCTCCGCCTTCCCCCCTCCCCTCATTCAGGTGCGCGATTTCATCCATACCAGTCTCTACCATCCCACAGCCGGTTATTTGTCCTCTCTGAACCCGTCCCTTATTTTCCCCCCTTCCCCCCGTCCCCCTGCCTCTCCCTCCCCCTCAGGTGCGCGATTTCATCCACACCAGCCTCTACCATCCCACGGACGGTCATTTCACCCCCTCTCTCTCTACCCATTCCCCCAACTTCCCCCCCACACCTTCCACTCCCCCCACCTTCCCTTCCTTTCCCCCTCAGGTACGCGATTTCATCCACACCAGCCTCTATCATCCCACGGACGGCTATTTCACATCCAACGCTGCTGCTGTGGGTTCAATCCCGCACCCAATCAGCTTCCGCCAGCTGGCGGGGCGACGGGAGTGGATGGCGCTGCAGCAGTCGCTCTACGCCTCTGCTGATACCTCCTGGTTCACTCCCTCGGAGCTGTTTCAGGTGAAAACCCAGGGATGGATGATTCAGGGGCAAATGCAGGGGTGTCTGTTTCCGTTTTCCTTCATCTTTTTCAACCACGTGCATTCCCTGTATTCACTGTGTGTGTGTTTTGATCCGTGCTGCATCCCTCTCCCCATCTCCCCCACCCCCACCACCAGCCATGGTACGGCTATGCTGTCGCAGACTTTATTCTCTCCTCCCACTCTCCCACCAAGCCTCTTAAGGTGAGCTGACACCTACATACCTGTATGCATGCCATCATGCCTATCACCGCTCCTCCCACCACTCCTCCCACCTCTCAACCTCTCCCAACCTCCCTCAACCTCCCAATCCCCCAACAGTAGATGTATGAGGTGGGAGGGGGCGGAGGCACGCTGGCTCGCAACATTCTCGACCGCCTGAAGGCGAAGGCTCCTGCTGTGTACAGGCACTGCCGATACACGTGAGTGAGTGGAGGAGAGAGAGAGAGAGAGAGGACTTAGCACCCAGCCCTCTTCCTCTTCCCTCGGCCCTCTTCCTCTGAGCCTATTTAAGGGCCCTTGGTGCCTTCTTCTCCTCATTATTTCGTGTGTTCTCAGTTTTCCGCGGCTGGAGAGATCGAGAGAGAGAGAGGACTTAGCACCCAGCCCTCTTCCTCTTCCCTCGGCCCTCTTCCTCTGAGCCTATTTAAGGGCCCTTGGTGCCTTCTTCTCCTCATTATTTCGTGTGTTCTCAGTTTTCCGCGGCTCGCGCCGGCGGCCTTCGGCCGCGTGTTTCTGGTGGCAAGACACAAAACGGAGGATCGGCTTATATAGGGCACACACACACACAAAGGCAAGGAGCTGGGCAGGAGCAAGAGGCGCGGGATGCAATTCTACACACGGCGGAGGCCTACATCGCGTACGGCTCCGCCCCCTCCACCTCAAGCATCGAGCGCATGCACGCCGACAACGCAAGAAGGAGATGCGCCGACGACGGGAGCGTGTCCAAGGGGGTCCCGGCTTGAGCAGCCCCTACAAGATCCCCCACGTGGCGGGGGAAAGTACGGGCTAAGGGAGCTACCCCGGCGGGCGCGTCCGACACGGGTGCCAACGGCGACTCGAGTGATTCTGCCAAAGTCACGCAGGATCCTCGGGTCCCTGGACCAAAACTGCTCGGAAAGCTCCTCGTGGCCCCACACACCGCCAGCTGCAAGTTTGCCACCACCTCGCACGCCTCCGCCAGATTCAGAACCCGGCACATGGTCAGCATGGGGTCTCTCCCCGCGCGAGTGGGGAGAGGTGCAGTCTGCGCTTCGCGCGGAAACGCCGCCGGCCAGCCAGGAGTCCGGCCAACAGCCAAGCACGGCGCAGAGAAGCCGGGAACCTGACGGGGGGTGCGGAACTGAGCCCTCCCCTCACGCGCGGGCTGATACTCGCGCAGCGTCGGCGCACGCAGAGGAGCGACCTGGCCTGGGTCCGCGGCGAAGGGGGGACCGTTGGTCACCTCAATATGGACGTGAGTCGGCGCCCCACTCGCCCGGGCCTGCCTCACCACCTCCACGAACGTGCCCGCAGCATGATCGAGGGTTGGATCAAGCTGGTTGCCATTCCCGCCTCGCCCTCCGCCCTTCCGCCAGCCCCGCCGTCCCTCGGAACCAGCCGAATGTGGACGCGGGGGGGACTGCTCGCGGCGACTCGAATCCCAGCAACGACCAGGCGACCCCCTCCCCCGCGTCGCCGGAGATCGCCAAGGAGAATGTTGCGCGGGGGATCGCGCTCGCGGTGAGTGCTGGCCTGCCTGACCACGAGGGGATGGGCGGCGAGGGGAGCGAGGACGTGCAGGAGAACGCTTACCCCCCTCCCCGCGCTGATAGTGCTCGCGACGCTCAGGAGAAGGGCGGCGAGGAGAGGGCGGCTGTTGAGGGTGCCGCAGAGGCGAGCACCCGCGCTCCTGCCGCGGCTGACCGTCCGGGCGGTTCGACGCAACACGAGCAGGCGCCCACGAATACTCTGGCGAGGCGGGGCGCGCGGCAGGACGATGGGGAAGAGTTTGATCCCGCTCGAAGTGGTGCACGGGCTCGCTCGCGGAGGGGTGCGCAGGGAGACGCGGACGAGGCCCGGCAGGCGCAGGCTGCGGTAGCGAGCTCTCCGCGGAACCCTCCAGCTCCGGATCCCGTCTCACGGATGGGTCCATCACCCCCGATCTTACCGCAGCCGACGCGAGTGCGGCGACGAAGCGAAAACGAGACGGCCGCGGCGCCGCAGACAGGGCGCGAGGGAGCTGCTGTGGGACGAGCAATGCGGGGAATCCGCGTAGGACGCGGCAGCCGCAGCGGACGACGAGGCAACGAGAGAGGACGAAGAGGTGGTGGAGCACGAGGTTCGAACAGGCGCCGATCTGGTGCAAGCGGCTACGCGAGGAATGTGGAAAGGCTGATGCGAAACGGCGCGGAGGGCGATGTGGAACCACTTAGCGAGGAAGCAGAGGAGGAAGTGGAGAATGAGGAAAGTGAAGATGGGGACCCTGCCTTTAACCCTGAAAGCGAGGGGATGCTAGAAGCAGAGGCCGAGGAGGACGAGGAAGAGTTGGAGCTGCTGCGGAAAGCGGAGCTCCCAAACCAGCAGGCCAGAGGTGAACCTGCGAACCGAACCTCAGTTCGGAATCGAACCGCGGGGGAAATTCAAGCAAGGAGGGGAAATCGAGCCGCTCCAGAACAAAGAATTGACTCTGCAACAGCCAATGAAAATTCCGCAGCCCCGAGTCCAACCCCCCCGATGCTCAAACCTGACGACCTGGCGAAAAACTCTGAGCTATTCGCTCAGGTTGCAGTGTGGGACCTCGACCCGCTGCGTGACAGTCGCCAACCTCCTCTCGCTCGCCACCCCCCTAAAGACCTTCGTGACTCCTTCGCGATCTGTATGTTGACGCCGTTACTCCACCTGGCGGCCAATCCCGAGTCTGCGCCAGGATGGAAACTACTGACCTTTCTCCCGCGCATACTCCTTCGTACCTCGTCAGCCCGTAAACCTGACTGGAGCGCGATGATGAATCGGCTCCTGCGATTTCGCCAAGGGCTCTGGGCGGACCTATATGAAGAAGCTGTCCAGGCGATTTCCTTGCCTCCGCAGCCTCGCCACTCACTCGACACAACTGGAATACTGGCACGGGCGGAAGGTCTGGCAAAACGGGGTAACCTGTCAAAGTCACTCCAATCCCTCCAGGCCACCCCTGTGTCACCTGCCTCACCTGAAGTGCTGGAAGCCCTCGCGACGAGACATCCACCTGCCAGCCAGCTTCTCCCTGACTGGCTCCACACCGCCTCGGCTGAAGACCCACCCACTATCGAAGCCCGCGACTTCAGGCGCCTCCTCGCCAAGCTCCCCAACGGAGTCGGGGCCGGCCCCTCAGGAACCACTTTCGAGCATATCCGCGACGCAGCCCTAGGGAATGCCGAAGTACTCTCCCACCTCCTCGCCCTCTCCAACACAACTCTAGCAGGGAAACTCCCAACAGCCGCGGGGGATCTTCTAGCGGCCTCCCGCCTGCTAGCCTTTACGAAACCCCAAGGAGGGACGCGGCCAATAGCGGTGGGGGAGTGTCTCCTCCGGATTATAGCAAAGGCCGCCCTCTTCCTGACCGCGCTAGCCGCCCGTACTCACTTTGCCCCCCTCCAATTCGGCGTGGCAGTAGCAGGGGGGATCGAAGCGGCTATCCACACCACTCGCACGTACCTGGAAGTGCACCCTGCTGCAGTGGCCTTGCAGATCGACCTCGCGAACGCTTTTAACGCGGTAGAAAGGAGAGCGGTGTTCGAAGGACTGAGAAACGAGGCGCTGAAGAAGCTGATCCCCCTCGTCCGCCTATCCTACGGGGCTCCCTCCTCGCTCTACCTCGACCACGACTTCGGCGCAGCCCCGCTGCAGAGCGCCAGAGGAGTTCGCCAAGGGGACCCGCTCGGCCCCCTCCTGTTCGCGGCAAGCATCCACCCGTGCCTCATTGCCACGGCGGCGGCACACCCTCAGGTGGTCCTGCTGGCGTACGCCGATGACATCACGCTGCTCGGCGACGCCTCGGCCTGCACAGCAGCTTTCGACCACCTCACATCCGCACTTGCCGCCCTCGGCCTGGTACACAACCCGGCCAAATGCGCGGCGTGGTCCGCCGCTCCAATCGACCCCTGTGCAGTGCCCCCGGGAATTACTATCTCTGATGAGGGACTGCAGATTCTCGGCAGCCCGGTTGGCACACCCCGGGAGTGCGCGGGCGCCGTGAGAGAGAGACTGGCAGTAGCAGCATCCCCACTCCCCCTGCTGGCCCAGATGGACCCCCAGCTTAGCCTCCTCCTCCTCACCCGCTGTGTCAGCCGCCGAGCCTCTTTTCTGGCCAGAACCACCCCCCTGGAAGCTCTCCCTGAAGCGGAATGGTCAGCTTGGGGGGAGCAGCTCCTACACACCTTCCTGGACTCGGCCCACATCATGAGACCAAGGAGTGCCCGGGAGAGGCGGAGGATTTGGCGGCAGGCGGCCCTGCCCGTGACTCTGGGGGGCCTGGGCATCACTGACCCCGCCGTTGAAGGCAGCTACGCTTACCTCGCTTCAGTGATCAGCGCCGCCCACCTTCTATACTCCCTGGAGGAGTCGTTACACCCTGCTGTCGCCGCGCTCCTCCCCCTACTAGACCCTACCCACGGCTCCCCGCACGCGCTGCCTGCACGCCTCGCCGCGGCTGAGGCAGCTCTCCCACCTGAGGCTCTCGAGGTGCTCCAGGCCGGGAAGACAAACCCCAAGGGACTGCAGCTGCAGCAGAGCCTAGCGCTGGCGGTTCACTCCCGCCGCTTCTTGAGGGCCATGCGCGAGGCAAGGCGGATGCGCCCCAACCCCCTTTCAGGCCATGCGCAACGGATGCGGTCGGTGCTAGGCCCAGGAGCGGGGGATTGGCTGCTGGCAATCCCGCTCATCCCCTCGCTCCGAATGGGCCCCTCCCAGCTCTCAACTGCAGCTGCCTTCCGCCTAGGCCTCCCCCTCCCAGTGCCTAGACGCTGTGACTGCCGCTACCGCACCACCTTCCCTGACGACCGCCTCCCCAACCACCTCATGCGCTGCGAGAAGGGGAAAGGGAGGACCGCTACCCATCACGCTCTGCGGGATGAGATAGCAAATATCGGGGCTGAGGCGGGGTTTACGGTTCATAAGGAGACGTATGTCTACTCACTGGTTGAAAACCTAAAGGCGGATGTCACCATCCGTCATCCACTGACCGGGGAGGTTTGGATGTGCGACGTGACCGTGACGGACCCGATGTCATACCAGGACGAGAACTGCAACCGAGCTCCTGGTTGGGCAGCTAGGGCGGCAGCGGCAAAAAAGGAGGAGAAGTACGCACGGCGGAGCACGTGGGTGGGGTTCCACGCGCTCGCAATGGAAACATACGGCTACCCCTCGCCGGGGGTGCTGGCTTACCTGCGGCAATGCGCGGAGCTGG